AGAGAGAGAGAGAGAGAGAGCATACCTGCGTGGTGTGTTCAGCGGCCATAGCGGCCCTGTACTTGCAGACGGAAACTATTGAGACAATTTGGTAAATACTAAATTGTAATAATAATTTCGAGTTTCATCAGGTCTCTCTCTCTCTCTCTCTCTCTCTCTCTCTCTCTCTCTCTCTCTCTCCCTCTCTCTCTCTCTCTCTCTCTCTCTCTCTCTCTCTCTCTCTTGCATGTATGGATGCGAATTAGGTGTCAACCTGAATGGGACCGTTGAGAGGTCTTCTGCCTGTGCACCTGTCCACGTCTGTCTGCTGGTTTGTCTGTGCGCCTTTGTGTGTGTAGCTATCTCCCAGCAGGCTGTGTTAGCTCCAGCCTGCATGGCTATCCCTCAGAAGGCTCTGCATGGAGAACCCAAGCCGACTATGAAGCTAACATAGTCTGGGTGGGAGATAAAACAGTCAGGGTGGTAGAGAAAAGAGTCTGTTTAGAGTTGCTACCTGTGGGATTGTGTGCATGGCCATCTCCAAGAGCTTGTTCCACAGCCTGCATCTATAGGCTATCCATCCACCTGTAGGGTAGGCAAGAGCATGGAATGAAGTTGTTGCTGTGAAGCAACTGCTGTGCCTCTCTCATCATCTGGCAAGTGGGTTGCTTTGGCTTTTTTTTTTTTTTTTTGTACGTGCATGTTTTTGGCATGAACAGGATGAAGTTCAGATGGCAGATGATGCAAAAGCAGAGGGTAACAAGTTATACGTTCAGAAAGATTATGCTGGGGCACTTGAGTGCTATGCCCGCGCGCTAGAGTTGATCCCTGTGCATGAAGACACTATTCAGAACAGGGCAACGTATCATGCCAATCGAGCGATTTGCTTTCTCCAACAGGTGAGCGTGGATGCGTGCCTGCAGGCCAGCGTGTGTTTTTGAAGTTGGCATCATAGTTTATTTAGCTGAAGGCTTCCTTACCAAGCTTTTGCTCTGTTCTGTTGCCCTTGTTTTTCGCTTGTGTGCTTTCATCGTCAACCTTCTCCACCTTCTCTCATCCTTCTGGCTATGGTGTCGACCATTTTGTGACAATGTTATTAACCGTTTTGAAGGCTTCAATCGTCATCTGATCAGTGCTCGTGGACGATGTGGGGTCCAGGGAGGGGTGTTCTGCTTTGTGCTTCTAACAGAAAAAAAAATCAGGTTTGTGCTCGGGGAAGCAGCACACTATGGTCACCGAGGATATTGCTCTATGTCCAGGTTTTTGTCGTGGCTCGATTCTCCTTTTGGCAGATGAAAAACTTTCAAGTGGAGGCTCTTATCGTCTCTTGGCATAGCACCGATGCGGTCTGGCAGAATAACATTCCTTCAACTCCACTGGGAAATTTGACTGTTCTCCACAGATGGAATCTTCGTGAATTCATGAACCCATGCAGTTCTGTCCCCTACAGATCTATGTAGGAGATGATGGCTACAGCTGTCAGGCTATGGTTGCCATGCAGCTGGGAACATAAATGCCAAGCCTGGTGTTGCAGGGAGTCAGAAGACTACTTGTTGCAGGTGATAAGGCAGTATGATGAGAACCCATAGCTGCGGCACACGGGCGCAGTGCAGTGCGCCATTCGCAGCGCGCGAGGTGACGATGCATGCGCATTGGTTCACGTTGTGCATGATGCTAAATGCGCGCTGTTGTGCGCTAGTCTGTGATGCACTGTGCACCGGTGCACATCAAGCGTGTGCATGTGTGTCCGGTGTGCAGTGTAGCATGCTGAGGCAGCTACATGGGCCCTGTTTTGGGGCCGGAGGGTTGTTACAGGCCCCCAGGCCGCACACCCATTTTTGGTGAGTGAGCTGGAGGCCCACAACCATTTTTCCAGGCCAGGCACACACTTGGTTCCATGTGTACTCTCCTTTATTCAGCATTTATTATTTTTGCTGGGTTTTGTCTGGACTATTTTTGTCTGCTTCAAATGCGTCGGTTCAGGCACATCAAGTGTGCGCATGTGTGCATGTGCGTCTGGTATGCAGTGTAGCATGCTGAGGCTGTACGGGCCCTGTTTCAGGGCCGGACGGTTGTTCCAGGCCCCCAGGCCGCACACCCATTTTTGGTGAGCGACGTGGAGGCCCACGACCATTTTTCCAGGCCAGGCACACACTTGGTTCCACTTGTGCTCTCCTTTATTCAGCATTTATTATTTTTGCTGGGTTTTGTCTGGACTATTTTTGTCTGCTTCAGATGGGCCGGTTCGGACTTTTCCTTTTGTCCGCACAGGCAGATGCCTGTTCGGACCAGTGGATTTCAGTTTCGGCCGTTGTCGGCCAGGTTCAGATTTGTCCGTATGTGGGACTGGACCAGGCATCGTTTGTTTGTGCCTGGCCCAGTCCTCAGGACCCTGCAGGGTTGCCTGGACGTCTGGTAGGGACCCAGGTAGGCTGTTTTTGACCAGGATCTTAGGACCAGGATCCTGGGCCTGCAATCAGGACCATCGATCGGACATCAGATCCGACGGTCGTGATTGCAAACCGAGGACTGCTCAGCCAGGCCCGGTGGTATATAGCTGGGCCAGTCCTCCACTTTGAGGACATTTCGGCTGGAGCCTCAGTTGGGCATCACGCTCCTGGAGCAGCACCTGTTTGGGGAGAGCTGCGATAGAGCAGCTTTAGAGGAATAGAGGAGCAGGCTGGAGTGGAGAGATTGGCGGAGGCGCCATAGCTGGGACCGCCAGGCAGCGACCCTTCGGTCACAACTCGGACATCTCCGCCGAATTGATTAGCGGTCCCAACATCCTGGCCTTGCCCATGAGTAGAGCCATATGTTAAACCCATCTTGCATCTCCCGGTCCTGCAATCCACCCTACTTAGTCCGTCCCCCTTTTTTTTAAGGGCCGGGAAGGAGCTGAAATGGCACAAGGCAGATAGTGAGGGGGGAGGGGTTGAAAGGTGAGGGTGGGAGATGTGGAAAGCGGATGACAAGGAAGCGGGATACGGGGGTGGAGGGAAACAGTGAGGCAATGAAAGTGTTGGCGAGGGTGGGACTCACGGAAAGGGGATGAGAGGGAAAGGGAATGGAGTGGAAAGGGAATGATAGGGGAGGGGGATAAAGTGTAGGGTAATAGTAAGGGAGGGAGGGAGGGGGAGATGCAAACCCAGGGCGACATAGAGAAGGAGGGTGGGGGGGGGGGGGGGGGGGGGGGGGGGGGGGGGGGGGGGGGGGGGGGGGGGGGGGGGGGGGGGGGGGGGGGGGGGGGGGGGGGGGGGGGGGGGGGGGGGGGGAGGGAGGGTGGCCTGGGCAAGAGATAGGGAGGCAAGGAGGAGGTAGAGTGTTGGAGGTGCACAGCAGGGGGAGGGATGGAGTGAGCGGGAGTTGCAGTGTTAGACTTCCTGAAGTGGGATGGAGATATGAAGGGACTGAGGGGGAGGGAGAGGGAGGTGCACCGAAATAAAAAAAGCCCAGTAGGTAGAGAGGGAGGGAGGGAGCGTGGGAGGGAGGTCTAGAGAGATGGGAATTGGGAAGGGAGATGGAGCAGGGTGTTGTAGGTGCACAGCAGGGGGAGGGATGGAGTGAGGGGGAGTTGCAGTGTTAGCCTTCCTGAAATGGGATGGAGATAGGAAGGGACTGAGGGGGTGAGGGAGAGGGAGGTGCATGGAAGAAAAAAGACTGAGGGAGAGAGGGAGGGAGGGAGCGCGGGAGGGAGGTCGAGAGAGATGGGAATGGGGGAAGGGAGATGGAGCTGCAAAGCGACAGTGGGGATGGGGCGATGTACAGTGAAGTTGAGGGATATAGGGGCGGGGGATGGAGTTTGAGGTGGACAGTGGCAGCAATGGAAGGAGTGGTTCGAGATGACAGAAGAATGGTTCTGAATAAAAAAGCGGAGATATGCCTGTGAGGTATGGTGTCTGGAAGATTATTCAAAAATAAACAGGTGAGTCCGACTGACGGTCCGACCACAACAAATCCATCACCCATCTTGTTTGTCTGCGGGCGAAGCTGCAACCGGACGTCGTATTTTTTTTAGAAGGGAACTTCCAACTTTCTAATTTGATCGGTTTCGCAGTTTGTGGGTACCATCCTTGTGCAGTGGCCATGCTAGTTTTCTCTGTATCATTTCATTTGAATTCTAACGGATGTCCCGAAGGACTACTATTGTTGTTTTGGTTCATCTCTCTCCACTGATTGGTTCTGCAGCTTTGTAAGTAAGATTGACTGCTGCCGTGTCTTGAATGCATTTGAAATGATCACTTTCCCTTTGTGATGCGCTATGGTTATGGTTATTCTCTGGCAGCTGAATGATCGTTTCGGGTTCGCCAGGCTGAATATGTTGATGCTGTGAAGGAGAGCACCTTGGCGTTGGAGCTAAACCCGAATTACGTGAAGGCGCTCCTCCGACGAGCACAAGCACATGAGAAGCTCGATCAACTCGAGGAATCATTGCAAGGTAACAACAACAAAAGGAGTAATGAGGGAAAAGAAAGCAAAACATGCAGGCCTGGGATATCGCTCCCTCCCTTTGTGTTTTTTTCTGCATTGCATCCTACCCGCCCCAGACATTATGAAGAATCTAAGATTCTAAACGCTAGGCAACGATATACAACCCTACTCTCTTGCTGGCAAGAGATCACTTTTTCAGAGTATTCATGTACCGCAGACTTGGTGTCGTGTTTAGAAATACGTGCTGTGTTTCCGCTAGTGGACTGAAAAGTAGGTCCTTGTCATTAATCAACTCTCCGTAAAAAGCACAACCTTTCATTGCCTGTATTTTGTTCAAAACCAAAGTGCATGGTTAAAGTAATTTCAACGAATTTGTTATCTGTTTCTGTGTAGGATAAGATAGCACCTGTGCAGAGACCCCTCCCTGTATGTTTGAGTCTTGGGTTGATATGTACGAGACCTTCTGGCTTCTTCACCGGTTCAACTGTTTATGATACGAAGACATTCTGACAAAGCTCATGATGATACAACCCTGATGAATCTGACTCCTACACTACAAAATACGACTCTGAGCTGTGGACCTCAAACTGTCGTCGCTCAGCTTGTGGCCTTTTCCACTGTGCGACTTAAGGATGTCGGTATGATGGGTTTGTTGAAATGATTTCACGTCTCAGTCGTTGTCCCGAGTCGCGGTCCCGGAGTTGCAATGATCCCAGTCCCACAAAAGGTAACTGATTGGGCAAGCCCAACAGCTGAAGTGCTGAACTTAGGTCCAGTGGGTCGATAGAGTCCCGGTACGCTGACAGAAAGTCTAGGGTCGCTAGGAGTCCAACAGGCCTGGTACCTGACAAGAGAAGTACAAAGTCCCAGTCCAAATTTATCAGCAGCATCCTCGGAAAGTCCCAGTCTAAATTTATTAGCAGCATCCTGGGAAAGTCCGGGGGGTTCCTGAACTGGCGAAAGTGCAGCCAACAGGCCTTGGGAGATCGTTACTGGTCTGGAGATGAGAGAGAGAGAGAGAGAGAGAGAGAGAGAGAGAGAGAGAGAGAGAGAGAGAGAGAGAGAGAGAGAGAGAGAGAGAGAGCTGGCTACGAGGCGCCATGGCTACCTTCTTCCGCCAAATACAATGTACCGTCGTTGTAGCTGGATTTAGACTGAAAGATACCCCACCAACCTCTGTGGTCTGACGGCCACTAATATCTGTCTTCACATTCTCCACCGCCGGTTTTATACAGCATCAGACTTCCTTGCAATCGCCCTTCAGCTTGATGCTGATCTTCTCCGACTACAGCCAGAGGATTGTAATTATACCAGCGAAGGAGGCTTTACCATTGCTGTCCTACAAGTAGCAATGAGGGGCCGTCAACTTGCACTGCGCAATGCTCGAGCAGGTGAGTGGTTTAATCCTCCATCCCACATCTCTGCCTGCGTTGTGCAYGGCCCTGGCCATTACATGGCCATTGTACATGCCTCTGACCACTGGGAGCTGTGGGACAACGGCACCATGGTCCATGCCATGACTGATGTCACTGATTTCTTACAAAATGATGCTGTCGTCTTGCAACAACAAACCGTCCGCAATCTCTTTTATGTCGAAGATCATTCCTCTGGCCCCGTGCTGCAGCAAGACAATGTACCTACCTACACTCTGCGAACTTCTCCTTTGCACAGCCACAAACTGTTACACTCGGTTGTAGTCGCCATCATCTCTGTCACAATCACTCCAATGACATGGTTTCTGCATCCATGTGTGCAGAGCACTGTCCCACCGTTCCTGACTGCAGGCACCCTCCACATCCGGACACTATATGTCCATTTTGCGGCCATGGGCGCTATACGGAATGCGTGGTCTTTTGTGGTGACCGTTCTTCCTTCATTTTGGCCTGCAATCGACATGCCATTTGTCAGGGGTGTATGGTGGGCATGCTCAATGCCAGCCGTCGTGGCAATTGTTGCACTTAGAATGTTCAGCTAGGTCTTTCATGTGTTCATCCACCTCATCCTTACAATGTATGTCCTCTCTGTCGTCAAGGACAGACTCATTCTTGAGCCTTTTCTTATCCTCTTTTGCCTTCATCTTCAGTCCACACTCTGTACTTTCCCTCGCTTTCCCTTTATCGCTCTTTGTTTGTCTGCTCTCCATCTCTCCTCCCTGTGTTTATTCCCTCCCCCTTCACTCT